CCTTCAGAGGGTCTAAATACAAACTGAACAAGATCAGAGTTAAAAGTGCAGGCATCTAATCTCACCCAGCTTGCCTTCTGGGCTCCCTTCCCTTGTTCCCATAGGTGCACAGTAAATACAGAGATGAGTGGGGAAAAACAAACACCGAAATAAAAAATCAGGTGGAATAAGGCTGGAAGATGGAGACAAAAGTACTGTTACACCATGTCCTCCGCACCTCCCCAGATCAAATGAGACCTCTCTCATACGTACAGGGGCATACACCATCCATGAGAAAGTGTAGAATCATTGCTATCCCAGGGGTCACCAGCTGCTTTCCCCTCCCTATAAGAAGAACTCACAGAAAATTCACTGATAATTTATATTTGTACTCAATTTTACGATTGAAGGAAAATGGCAAAGGCTATGATTTCCTTAACTAATTGCTCAACCACGTGCAGGCACATTGATGGCGTGGGGAGCTACAGAAAGCCAGAAGGAGTAGACATCTTCAGATGTGCTACTCCATCTTTTGGGGGAGTTTTTTTGCTATTTCACCAAAAAAACCCATACTTTTTATCCCACTTGACTCAGAGCAGAACATTTCCTCCCAAGTGCCACCAGCCTGTGAGAGCACCACCCTGCCTCACTCTTTGTGCCCAGCTCCTGTCACCAAAAGGGAGGCGACACAGTTTTATATCCTTAAGAGGGACTGTGCTTCCCCCCTGCCCAGGACGCCTTCTCTCCCCTTCAAGTGATTATTGTTTTGTTTTTTTCACCTCATGGGCAGTAACACCTACATTGTGTGAGGACAGACAGCGAGCATTCATATCCCTCAGAAAGCCATTCACTGCGGGGCAGCTGGAGAGGCTCAGTGTTCGGCTTGCCCTCTTCACTCTTGGATGAGTTTTGTGCAAAGCTCGGGCTTGGAGTCCTTTCCCTCCCAGACCCAAGCAATTAATGAGAGATGAAAAAAGGAGAGAAAATCTCACAGGGTTTTGTCTCTCTTCGCAGTTTGTTCTTTTTGTGTTTGTTTATAGCTAGATTATGTTATCTGGTTGCCCTGGAAGGATAAAAAAGCACACTTGGGGAGGAGAAAGGAAATTATGTTTAATTAATTAATGTGTCCTTGGGCTTTTTCTTTTATATGAAAAGTTTGGAAATAGCACCTCCTATTCACCCAAAAGTGACTGGAACTGCTGCTAGAAGAGAGACCACTGGCCAAGCAAGATTAAGAGAATTTTAATTTAGTATTACCACACTTCATATAGTGGCCCAGCTCTTCTCAGATAATGTTTTGGCAGAGTTCTAACAGGCCGTTAACAATCTTTTTCTGCTAAGATTAGTGTTGTACTGACAAGGATCCCATTCCAAAGCAGCACTGTGGCCCTTTACACATTAAAGTCTATGAAAAAGGTTTTAAGAATAACCTCCCTCACAGCTTCACCCGTTTTCCCATCTCCTTTCCACTTCATTTGCTGTTGATGCAAAGCCATTGGATTTTCGACTGCATGTTATCCACCAGCTTTATTTTTAATAGAGATGTACCAAATGCCCCCCACCCCCTCACTTTTACATGGGCCACCCTTCATAGAAAATGTTTATTTTTAGTGTCCTCTTTGGTGAACGAGATCATATAATAATGGGATAAACAGCATGGGGTTTTTTCTGGTGAGTCAATCACTAAGATCAATGAATTGATTTCACTGTTTTGTTAGTATTAACCTATCACTTGCTTTTAGGAAGAAACAAAAGTAGTGTAAAGATTGTCATCACCAGTGTAAAACAAAAATAAATACCATGGATGAATTTCATTATTTGATTTACATTGAGAGACTGTGTTAAGCCACTGCAATAGCACAACTGTAATCATACTGGAATGAATCCAATAAGAGAGGATCATTTATTGCAAGTATCTATCATGGTGCAGCCATTTCCTACTGGTGGCCAAGGCAATGTGCCTCATACTCAATACAATCACTGCAAAATAATTTTACTAGAAAATTGGTCAACAGCAAATGTCGCTATGTTCTATATGGCAGCAAAGTCTGTGTTCCTTTTGCCTTTATTAATATTAAAATAATAACAAAATGTAATGAAATAATTATATCTTTAATGCTAACAATAATTAATATAAGAACTAATTGCTACAGACAATAATTTTGTCATGCTATTTTCCATAGTAACACAGTATTTTACTATTTAATCCTAAAAATAAGGGTAACTAAAGGCAGAAGCTTCTAGATGATTCAGAAGGTTATGTAGTCTTGGCCTGGTTGGCACTGGATGGGAATCAGAAATATCACTGTCAGTCAAGAGTAAGTGTCAAACATTCAGTAAACTCCAGACCACAGAACTCAACAGAATAAAAAAACCTCCTTTCATTCCCATCGCACAGACAAATGGGGGGGGGGGGGGGGACAGGAAAGAAAGAAAGAGGAGTCTGGAGGCCTCAGATGATGGTTCACTGCGTCAGGTGCTCTATAAATACCCAGCAAATGAGTCGATGGAGTTTTTAAAAGACAACGTATTTACACATGGAAGCCTGGACTCCCCAGTAATGTTAAAGGAATAGACACAGAGCTGCAGATACTGCAAATCAATAAACATGTGCTTGGCAAGGAACTACACCAGACAGTCAAATCAGGACTTTAAGCCAGAGAGGTAAGGTATTCTGGCAAAGAGCATGGTTTTCAGTGTACGTTGAAACACGCTTGTGTTAAAGGTGGGTCCCTTTATCCTGCAGTTTTTCCTGTTGACTCAAGAGCCATCCTTTCCTTTGCCTGAGCCACACTTACTGGTTTAATACCCTGCAACCACACCAACAGTTTTTAAATTTATCCTGTGAATGACAGTTCTAATGAGTGAGACTTGATAAGTGGGACTTGCTGTAAGTCAGTGCAGGACCTGGCCTCGTGCATTTTATTCTGTACGTAGTCCACACCCCTCCAAGTAACAATTACTTTCAGTGCAATACACACCTTTAAAACCTGAATTAAGTAGTCCCTAAGTAGGGTAGATATAAGTAAGCTACTAAGTTGTGTTTTGTGATCCTGTTTGTTACACAGTTAGAGACCTGCTGATAAAGGACAGCAAATGAAAACCGAGATTCATTAACCTGAATGTAAAAAAACATTTCAAGGACCGTGTTTATTCTCAAGGGGTTTTTTTAGGTATTGGTTTGACAACAAAGTTGCCAATTAATGGATTTGGGAGACATGTTGAAAACACATGGGTCGTATAGTGATGGGTCGTATAGTGATGGGTCGCTATACGTAAGTCAAAATCTAGACCTCGACACAGGTCTTGAGAATCATAGGAGGAAAGATATAATATTGTCAGAGTTGGACTGGTTGAGATATGCCCTAGCAAAGGAGACACTATGGCCAAAATAACAATCCATTTGGCCCTACAGCAGGATTTTAACAGATATCTTACATTAAAAACCAACCTTTCATCCTGTCAAGAAAAAAACTCTCTCAGTATATCTCTACATGGAAGTCACACACCCACAAATTTTTATTATACATTTTACCCAATTACTTTTGGCCCACAGAAAACTTGAATTACTCTACTAATAAGATACAAAGATTAGATTCAGCAGTAATAATCTAAATATTGCTCCTGTAGGTTCTCTTTTCTTTTATCACACAGTTACTTTATGCATATATCACATCTTCATGCATACAATCTGTCTTCATGCTTGTGAGCATGTTGACTACTGGAAAAAAAAATGGACCTGCTCAATTGCACCAGTGCAAAGCTCTGATGTGCTGTGAAGATGCAAAATGAGAGCTGCAGGAAGACAACACAGAATGTGCAGCAACACAATTATGCTACTTGTCAGAAAGTACAGCATGGGAGATACCCAGAAGATAAGGAGCATGGAAGACTTTTCATCAGTGAGAAGAACACTGAAAAAAACCTAAAATGGGGCACTGTTAACTGAAGAGAATGGCTTGCACGCTGTTCCCTGAACATGATCTTCTCTCAGAGGCAGGTTGATCTGCTCTGGCTGTTGTACTGAAGGGAGGTAGAGAATCAAGAGTACCTTTGATTTGGGTCCTTTACTGAATCTGCAATTAAGTAAATAATCTGTTGCTATGACTTTAGACTCCCATTTAGCCACCATTTGAACATCACTGCCAAAATTTCCTCTCTGGTTGTGATGGGTACAACCCTTCACTATTTCCTAGTTTCTACACCCTTAAGTGGTGAATGGCACTTCTTTATTTTGTACATGCAAAATATCTTAGATAAGACTGTGTCACAGGTATAACACGAACTCCACTCCCTCCAAATAAAGACAATTTAGTGAAAACTCTAAAGCTCTCTGTGTCAGCCACAGTGATGAGCAGAGTATAAAAGCAATAGATAAAGACAAATTGAACCATGCCTGGTCTGACAGAGAAGTACCAGGGGATCTGCCTGTTTGCAAAATGTCTCATGTTTCCACGTGAACACTGCTGAGCGAGCCGATGCCCTTGCTGAGGAATGATTTAATTTATATGCCCCCAGAATGAGGTCATATCAATATCATGCATGATCTCTATCAGCTTTACAGATGCCTTAACCTGAGAAACGCTCAAGCTCTTGGAGAGCCATTCATACTTGGCAGATTGATATAGTAACTGACAATTCACTGCCATCCAAGTGTATCTGAGAGCACAAAGCTCACATAAATATTGCTGAGCATATCCCATTGTCAGTTATTTACTTCTGCCATTCAACTTTCTACAGCTCTGAGAGGAAGATCGTTTCTCTCTGTGTCATATGTCTGACTCACCCAGCAGACACGAAGAGCTCCTTGTTTCCTTTTTACCAGGAATGAACTGTGCTAGAAATGTCAAACACAGGTTTGTTCAACCCCAGACAACAAACAATGGGAAATATAAGAGTGAGAGCGGACAGAGACTGCTGAAGAAGCCTGGATACAAGCTTGGCTTTGTAGCCACTGCTGAAACAGCTTGTAATTATGTTTCTTCATTCAAAAAGCTCCAGGAGGAAGCAAGAAGACTTACCTTGCCGCGGTCCGAAGGGGGGATGGGACACGAGGAGGGGTGCAGGTAGAATCCACTATTCACGCGTGCACGCTGTCTTCTGTCAGCTCGGGAGGGGAAAGGGCCAGAACATAGGGAGGAGCATGAGACAGACAAGCGGAGGGACAAACCAGGATAGGGACACGGGCAAAAGAGGGAGGAACCGGGGAGAGAAGGGGCGAATGGAGGCTGTCCCCTCTCTGCAGCTTCTCCAGCCAATCCGCAGGAAAGCAGACAAGCCTGAACATGCCCGGGAAATACAAATTCTGGGGAAGCATACAATGTGTATATACATAATAACTATAAAGTCTGTATCATAAAGTCCTTTCAATCACTGTACATCTTTTTCCACTTCTGAGATTTTCCCCATTCTGATTCCTGGTCCTTCACATTACCTGATACTTTTTCTTCTGCAGTTCCATAGCTGAGCTGCCTGCTTACCCAACCTAAGTCCTTACCAAAGATGACTGTGAGCAAACAATAGGGTTTTCATGCAGACTGGACTCATGGCTTTCCAGCCCAGAAATGTCCACTTGGTCCTTTGCTCTGGATTTATTACATTCGCCTGAGCCCCTCTCTCTCTGTTGCAGCTCTCAGGCAGAAAGACATGAAAAGAATAATAAAGGGTGAGAAAACCAGAAAAAATAGGTGTGCAGAACTTATCACTTTCAAACTTAGACTGGACCAAACATTTCTGACTGATAAGTCTGAGTGAAGAAGGTCAGACACACCCCATTTTAACATTAGAGAGGGATTCTGTCTTTAAATTTCCTGCCATGCATCTCTCTCACACCCTAATTTAACCTGAATAGAGTAATCAAAATAAATAAATATATGTTCTTAGCTGGACTAATTCCTTTTACTCAACCATAACCCTCTATTTTAAAAAATTGGTGTTTGTTTCCCTTGATGAACAAGTTTATGAATGAAACTGGTTCTTAAAGAAGTCAAATAACTGGCAAAACTGCCACAAGTGAAATCACAGACTCAAGTGGTTCAAACAGACAGGAGAGCAACTCTTCCTTCCAGCACTGCAAGTTGCCAGGCAGAGCTTAGCCTCTTGGACTAGCAGCACCCTCTAAGCATCACCTTCAACTATAGGTGTGCAACCTGGACTGGTTTCATGTAAGTACATGAAATAACTTTGACACATCAGCAGTGCCCATCCAACAGCTATTTTTTCATCCTTATTATTGCCATATGTACTGTATTTCAGAATTTTGACATGACAGACACAAAAAAATGCCCTTTTTCTTTTCTGCTACTCCCTCTTAATGCAATGTGAGTTACTGGAAGCAAAATCATTAATATTTAAATTGCAAAAGTTACATGCCGAGTACCAAAGGTACAATGGAGAAACAAGAAATACAAAAACAAAGCTTTCCTTCAGGCTCTAAGCATAAGTAATTTAATGAATATTTCAAGTAAATTGTAGAAAAAAGTAAATCTATGACTTGTCAAAAAAACTTCCTGATGTAGATACTATGAACAGTATAGCCAGGCCTGATGGAAGGAATAAGAAAGGCTCAGTGAAGTTTGTCCATTTACATCATTTTATGCTGCAGGTAGGACCATGAAAAGAATCCAGGAGTCTTGGTGCCCTGTACCGTCTTTGGTGCATTAGGCACCTCTTCAAGGTAAACAGAAGCCTTGAATTTCTCTTAAGTACTCACAGCTAATACAAATGTGTACATTACCCAGGTCAGTCAGACAAGCACAGAGGCTCCGTTTCATTTGCCTTCAACTTCCCCCAGATTAAATGATCAGACCCACATCAATCACTGTGTGTAAAAGACATGGAGTAATTGGACTAGAAGGTTGTCAACAGACTGAGGGCTTCTGTTCAGAAAACAGATGTCTTGGCTTTTTCTTGGTCTTGTTTATTCTTCATAAATACCAGAGCAAGACAGCAGAGTCACTATTATCTCGTAACAACGTTCTGTTAATCAGGCATGTCATTTGCTTGTATGGCCCAACCTTCTGCAGATCCCAGACATTCCCCTTCCACAAGAATTAACCACAAAAATACTGCAGCAGAGCTGCTTTATGACCATGGCTAGGATCAATTTGTTTTGTGCTTTCAGACACTGATCTTGCAACAGCAAACATACAGACACTACAACAGGCTTTTTTACATAAATGAGAGGTTTTGACCACCATATTTCCTTTTTCAGTGGCAGTTTGTCAAGATCTTTTGCCTAATTCCCAGCTTAGTAAAAAGACAGCATGCAACTACGGAACAGCACATCCTTCCCAAATGGCTCTGAAAAGCAATCGACAACAGGGTGAAAGCCAGGCTAAAATAATAATTACATCAGGAGGATAGTATTGGTAGGCTAAACTGAGGAAAGAAAATAAAAGAAAAAAAAGAAGGAAAGAAGGCAAAACAAAATCAAGTGTTAAAAGCAGTAACCACAGAATTTAAGAAATAAAAATGAAGTTACACATTCCAACCGGAACTCACATCAGACCCAAGGGCTTATGCACCTGGGACCAAGAAGGGGATGAGGCAGGAGGAACCAGACTTCTCCATCCAGCAGGAGCCAAAACTGCTGCAGAGTCCTGATGGGAAATGTCCGTGTAAGCCAGAACAATTCCACTGGTATCAAGGAAGACCCAGCACAAGATCTGACCTGAACTGTGCCTGCCCGAAACATCTGCAAATACTGAAGTTCATATGCAGCTGGAAACACTCTTCTAAAACCCCATTTTCCATGTGTGAGTGTACTTCCAGATGATCTACAAATTACAATATTCCTGCCTAGAAAGCAAACTATTTTTACAGCATCATTTGCTTTAGTGTAACTATAATCCGTAACATCAATTTGATTCTTCCCAAGTGTCTGGATTCAGAAGTTTTATCAGGAACAGCTACTGTGAGCTCCCTCAGCCCTTAGCTGAAGGGAGTAGGTGGCATATGTCCTGTCCCCACTGTCTGAGGTTCAAGTGGCAGGAGCAACAGAACTCAGTGAAAACCTTGTTATTCTGCAGTGGGAGCAGGTTCATGACAAAACCTGACATCTATAATCTTAGTGGATGCTTTTAAACTCAAGTGTAACCAGGTAACAGACCAACTTCTCTGTGAATATTCAACTATCTCTAGTAAATATTGACCTGGAGGTTGCCTCCCAGTCTTCATTTGATCACTGCCCTTCTATAACTGCATCCTGACGTCCTTGTTGGAAGTTTTACATTTTCCTTAATTAGGGTATGTTTTTTTTCTTTCTGGCAAAATGGTTACAGACTTCAATGAGAGCAGGATTTGGACTAGTTTTTGAAGCTTCTTGCTGCTGTGTTTTGTGAATTTTACACAGTTCTGTCTGTTCAATGGACTCAAAGATGATTCAAAACACAGTCTCAGTATCTGTGCGCAAACATAAAATCCTCTGCCAAACAGTCAAACGCTCCAGATGTGGGGATAGCAAAGAAAAAAAAATCAAAACCAAACCCTATACAACATTTTATACAGGCAGTGGAGATTTCAGTATTTCACCTGAAAATTTAGACAAAAATGGGATGTGATAGAAAATCATTTTTGTTACTTTGCGTGGGTGAGTGCACTCCACATATTTTTCTCCTATATAAGGGTATGCTTCAGGTGTCATCTCCAAAAAGAAATGCTAGAGAGACTTGTTAGAAGGGAAGCGGGGGGGAAAGGCTTTTTTTCCTCTTTGAGCCTCTGCTTGGTGTCAGCACCGAGACCCACTTAATCTCCTCTCTCAGTGCACTGTTAAGAAGCATGTGGCCAGCAGAACTCTGATCTTTCATTCCCCCGTATCACATGATAACCAGGCTTGCACACAAATAGCACTTACATCTCAAGTGCATTTGCCTCTCCTGGTTCTTTATGTCCCCATACGACTTTGTTGCAATTCTACATTTACACCACCTACACAGGATGCTGTTTTATTTAGGCTTCATTTTTATTAAATATCAGAAATTATAAAGGATGCCACTGTTCTAATTAGCGAAAGTAACATCAAACAAAAAAATGTAAGTGTAGCTGGACGTCAGAACACAGTTTTCTTTCAGGAGGGTGTCAGACTCCCCAGTGAACAAGTTTAGCCTCGGTTTTGCACATCAGGGTTGGGGGAAAAAGCAATGGCTTGAGGAGCCCTATAGAGGTGCTTTTGCTTCCCTGACTTCTCACACAATATTCTTTCAAATGAATTTAAGGCTTTTCTTGTCCAAATCCCCGCAAAAGTAACCACAGTGCAGTTTTTCTACTATTATGCAAATAGATTAATCAGCCAACGCTCCAGTGAGAATTAATTTATATTTGAATCAAATGAGGCCTTAGATTCTTTATAACCCAACCCCCGGGCCAAGGCCTGGGCTAGGTAGCAACCTCATATTATTCATTTGACGAAATGTGAACTGACATAAATACCATGGCTAACTTTCAATCCGATTACCCCGTTACCTCACATCAATGCTCTCCCAGCCATCAGCCTCCAGCGTCCCTCCTTTCACCAGCACAGCCAACAACTGACAACTCCTCCCTGATAAACAAGCACCCACGCTGCCACCTCAGACCCCCACTCTTAACCCATCATTCCTGCTCAATGGCCCTTATTCAACAAGGTACTTTATTTTGTTTGTAGGAATGGGGGACTAAACAACACAAAAATACTGTTTTGCTGGGGCTGTGATTCAAAGCTGCCCTTTTCAGAGCTGCTGAGCACTTGAGGCACGAACAATAAACATCCAAAAAAATATAAGAGCATCGTGTCTGGCCATACATAGATATTTATACACACATGCACACATTTAATTTAATACAGTCACTGACATCTGTTGTCTTTCATATTCTCCTTAACCCTTAAAAAAAAAAATAAAACAATGTTCGGGGCTACTATGTCCAAAGGTCAATGTAAAGTGAACCCACATTTTACACAGCACCCTTATACTAAACTCATGTTGACAACCACTAAATTCTTTCTATTGCCTTGCACAGGAACTTGTTTTTTAAAAGGCTTTCCCCCCCCACTTTAAAACTGTAAGCATTTAAAAAGCTTGGCTAAACAATCCACCAGGTGTGAG